GTGAATGTGATTCTCAAAAAATAAATTTCATAATTATTCCATGGGGCCAACCAAATATATAATCCCCAGTTGGAATTCAAAGAAACAACCTACATGTGATATACGGTGCTCTGAAAGTAGGTTAACTTCAGACATGGAAAGAAAATAGAACACAACCAAGATTTTACAATATAACTGCATATATTGTTTCATAAATTTCATTGTGCACATTTCATCTTATATATGTATATATATATATACAATTCTAAATACACAGCTTTACTAAGAAACAAAAACATACAAAGTACAAAACTCCTGCAATGCAATCCTCGGCAATATCTCAGCCACATAGCTTAGACAAAAAATATGTTCATTTCAGCAAAACTTGCTGCTCCTTCTTTATTGTTCTGATACTGACGCTTGTCTTCGGTGCTTTGTCAGATTGATCTGAAAGTAATGAAAATAAATGTAAAGAATATGAGAACATAATTAAAATCACAGTGCATCTATACAATAAAAGCAAAATTAGTAACCTCATGAAGTTGGGTTGTTTCTCTGCCCACATTACACATATTCTAAGTAACGCTGACTAACCCTAATATTAAACATCACAAAACATATTTCAAAAGAAATGCAATATTTATTGAAATTACCTTTGATTGTTTTTGCAGTTTTTCATTGTTCTTCTCTATTGCCTCTTGAACTTTAGTTGGGAGGGTTGTCGCTTCCCTTGGGGCAGGCATGAAGGGCTTGAAGTCTGATAGCTTGGTGGTGGGTGTCCGGATGTCCCCAATCTTGAAGGAGTGCCGATGCAATAAATGAACTATAGTTAACGACATTGCACATAAACATTACTTACCAATTTCAGTGTTTTTCCTTTTGGGCAGATTTCTTGAAGAAAGATGTCTGCCTTGACTGTTGATGACGTTGGTAAGATCTGTAATAGAGTAGTAACATGTTCAGTGAATATGACTTTGTTCATAAAGAAACCATGATCCAAACAGAAGGCAAAGATTCTTCAAGATATATACAGTGTTTGGTGTACAAAAATAGAATAAAATGCTTCTTACCCATGTCAACGTTGTTGAAGCAGAGCTGGTGAACCCTCCTCAAGGCATCCAGAGCTTCTCACTGCGACCAGAACTTGGGTTTTCGATGTGATTTACCGACTTGTTGAATAGTTATCGTTTGATCGTCTGACAGAACGTTCTCGACGATTTAACGATATTTAACGATACCTGATTAGGGTTAAATCTATATATTTATGGTCGGGCGTCCACGGCTGACTGGTATATCAAATCAAACACAAGGGTGTATATCACGCCCCCTTGAGTGTTCACGCCTCACTGGGTGGTCGCGTAATAAGGTGTGGCACCAGCATCTCGGGTTACAATTTGATATTAATTCAAGTACTCCACTGATAATGTACATAGGTAGTTAACTTAATTACATTCAGTTTTGTCCGACAAGGAGCGAGTTTACTTTTTTTAGACACAGACTTTGTAACAGGCTCTTCCCCTGGAAACACATATGTTGTAAATAAATATTTTGCCGTTTCCATCAACCTTATCACGTGATGTTCTATAACTGTTGTCTTGTACACTATCCATAGTGTAAGTCAGCTGGCTCGAGGAATGTTCATATAGTATTATCATTAAACAACATACCCTATGCAACAGTTATGTTGCTACCCAGACAAAACTATTTTTATATTCTATATTAAATGTAAACGATCTGTTTTTATTATAAATACAAAACCACCCTTTTAAGCGGTAATACCTATCACGCATTAAATAACATATATGAACAACCATGTGATTATAAAGTCTCACGTTGGTTCCTCCGTGCAACTTCATGCCTGACTTACATTTAACAGACTTAGATTCAAGTTGAAGTTTTTAGAGAGAGAGAATATTGTTTATTAAAGTGTCACATGTTATATACACTTCGTAATAAGATATATACAAAACAGTAAAATATAACATCCGGCCAAATATGACCTACGAGACACTATAAAACATATCAATCATAAAACTATTCAGTTGAAACAGAATAAAAAATACATACCTCGTGATGCAGGCGCGGAGCACGGCCGTGGGCGGTTTCAGTGAGGAGCGCACCAGTATGCCAGGATACAGGGCAACTGACTTCGAAAGTCCTAAGTTAAACAGTGCGCTCCCCCTTAACTCCCCCCACCGCGTTGCGCCGCCCCCGCTCCCCGAGTGCGTGCGTGCGTGCGTGCACACACACACACACCACGTCATACATACATACATACATACATACATACATACATACATACATACATACATACATACATACATACATACATACATACATACATACATACATACATACATACATACATACATACATACATACATACATACATACATACATACTTGGCTTAAAATGAAATTGCCTTCTTTTAACCATGTTGTAAATTGATTTGGCTAAAATACATTGGAGCGATTCTTCGTTCATAATAAAAATAAACTTTTCTAAACTACTCATATAATGAAATGTTTTATCTACAGAAGTTGCTTCTTTAGCTAAGTTGTATCTTAAATCATCATAAAATGGACATTCTATTAAAAAGTGACATTCATCTTCAACATAATTTACATGATCATTAGTAGGATTGGCGTGACAATATTTACAAGTCCTATCCAACAGTGGGGTAGGTGGCTTGGCGTAGCGGCCGGTCTCAACATGTAAAGGTAAAATACCACATCGAAAGGATGCTAAAAGTCTTCGATGATCTCTAAAACGTACATGACATAAATAAGGCTCAGCAGTAGGTGATGATTTGTACATTCTGTATGTGCGTAATTTATTGCCATTTGGATTATTCTTGTCATTCCAAAGCGCAGTATACCACATATCACAATCTTCAGCAGTTAAGAAACACTTTACACGGTCAACACACTGTTTAATGCTGTATCCACAATAAGGTAAATTTGACAAATTATAGTGAGCTAAAATGTTTACGATTTTTTTATCCCAGGAATGTGATCGGATTTTGGACCAATTATGAATGATAAGAGGGAGATGATGGGCCTGCATATTCTGAATTCTAAAATATAATCTAAAGCATTCAACGTGTTTTTAGATGTTTTCATAGAGCTGTCACAGCCGAACCAGATTCAATAATAGGTATTATTCACAGGTGGTCAGTAAGGCGGAAATCATCATGGGACTACAGGGTTATGGTCATGGTTAAAAAGCTTGCTATCACCAATAGAGGCCAGACTGTATATGATTTCTGTAATAACACAAGCCGGCCAGTGTTCCTTGATCAAGCATTGCAGGAGCTGGATAAGAAAGACAGAGAGAAGTGGTTTTCAGATCTATTTAATGATAAAAATAATTCAAATGGAAACAAGTTAAGAACTTATAGATTATTTCAACAAGACATTGAAACATGCCATTATGTTAAAATGTCTCTACCAAGGCAATATAGAAGTGTATTAGCATCTTTGCGTTGTGGTAACCTGCCAATTAATATAGAATGTGGAAGATATACCAAGCCCATCACTCCTCTTTCAGAAAGACTATGTACTCTCTGTGACAAGCAAGCCATAGAGGAGGAATTTCATTTTGTTGTAGAATGCAACTTCTATAAAGATATCAGACTATCTATATTTAACACAGCTAAAATACAAGAAACAAATTTCACTGAATTTTCAAATTTTGAAAAGTTTCTGTGGCTTCTTAAAAATGACAACATTCAGTACCAGTTATCTAAATGTTTGCACACTGAGTACAGCAAAAGGCGTTTGTGCTTATCCAAACTACCATAATTTAAAAATATCTGTTTTTAGTGAACAATATCCTTAGGTATAATTCTATGTTCATATGTTGTACATTATCGGTGAAAGAATGTGATTAAGCAGATTAGTAGTTTGTGCTTATCCAAACTACCATAATATAATAATATCTTTTTTTAGTGAACAATATCCTTAGGTATAATTCTATGTTCATATGTTGTACATTACCGGTGCGAGAATGTGATTAAGCAGATTAGTAGTTTGTGCTTATCCAAACTACCATAATATAATAATATCTGTTTTTAGTTAACAATATCCTTATGTATAATTCTGTGTTCATATGTTGTATATTATTTGTGAGAGAAGGTGACTAAGTAGAAATTTTGAAATACGACAGACTGACCAAGGGGATTTGGGATAATCAGAATGACTGGATTAAAGTATATGCATGACTGTGTGACATGGTGTGACTTGGGGCGTATACGGGTGTGTGCTAGGAAGGGTGGGCAGATTGAATACAGAATGGTTGATTGACACGGTTGAACTTGTGCATGATTGAATGTGTGGGGGTCATATTCAATAATGCGTGTAATTGAGGGACCGAGTTGGATTTCTGTGACTCGCTGATCTGGGACATGTATAATGTGTGTGTGTGTGTGTGTGTGTGTGTGTGTGTGTGTGTGTGTGTGTGTGTGTGTGTGTGTGTGTGTGTGTGTGTGTGTGTGTGTGTGTGTGTGTGTGTGTGTGTGTGTGTGTGTGTGTGTGTGTGTGTGTGTGTGTGTGTGTGTGTGTGTGTGTGTGCTAAGGTGTGTGTGTGTGCTAAGGTGTGTGTGTGTGCTAAGGTGTGTGTGTGTGCTAAGGTGTGTGTGTGTGTGTGTGTGTGCTAAGGTGTGTGAACTGGTGACTAGGTTGATCTTGCATGAGAGTATATGTCCGTGTGTCTGTGGAGTGGGGCGGGGGGAGGGGTTTGCTGTATACATATGAAGATATTGTTAGTTATAATATTTTATTTATGTATTTTATTGATTGTATAATTTTAGGTGTCTTTTAGGCCAGTAATGGCCAGGTGTATTATGTACACATGACACATTAATAAACTATATTCTTCTTATTATTATTATTGTTCTTTCACCACAGTTACGCTTCTCCAAATTTAGAAAGAAGCTGTGTACACAGTGTTCTTGCGAGTTACAATTACGCGTCCGGTTTGGCGGCACCTTCAAAGAGTGGACATATGGTTGCTCGTTCAGGTAGCTATAATTACCCTCTCTATAATGCAATATCGTATTATCCATTTGTAATGAATGATAGTAACACTTAATCGGATTGGATTCAGTTAAATCTACATTTCTCAAGGTCTCTAACATCGAGATTTGAAATATCTTTCATGTAAATACCTACTTTGTCATGTGACTTGTATATATTCGTGTATATTCAGAATCGTACCTTCGCACAATGTCTTTGCACAATGGCACAAGCAACGTGGTCTCTTTCTGTAAAAAATAGCACTCTTTATATCAGCCACAGCAAAGATCCCGAACCACGTGCAGTCAGCAGAGTTACAGCGTCTGGTTACCGTCTTGCAGTTACGATACAGGTAAGACGTCAAAATATTTATTGTTTTATTTCTGGAAACGCCGACCCTAGAACGTGGAACGGTTATTTCATATAACAACAACCAAATAACAACCTGTACTCCAAACAGTGAATGTTAGGCTTTGCTGCCATGCGAAACGCGTTTTGTAAGAGTCTAATTTTAGTGTATTTATTTCTACCACTTTTGCTAAAAAAATACGCAAACAAACTAATCTGAAAAGGAGATATCTCCATCCCCTGTGGTGTTATTGCGACTTGTATACTGTCTACATGTACATTAGGCAACTTATTGTAGCTGTATGGCGACACTTGTAGTGTAGCTATGTGACCATGAATTTGCCTGTGGTGATCAGTGAAAGTGAAAACACGGAAAATTACAAAATACCAATCCATGCAGTATTTTGATAATTTACATGCGAGTTTTCTATCATTTATAACGTTAGAAATATTTAGATAAAAATAACTTTATAGACCCAATGTTTATTAATATAACAAATTGTTGTATTAATGTTTTCCTAAAATAAACATATATATCATCTTCTCTTATTGCCCCATCAAAGCTGGTGCTGAGATAATTTAGAATACCCAAACGACGCATATTGTACGGGCCGTGCCGCCAGACTTGCTGCCAACTTGGCAATTAAATATCCTCGGGTATTGTCACTTCATACGGTGATACATAGTCTCGCGCACGTGGTCGGTGGGTATTGTCTATCAGCGCCACGATCACGTGATCGTTTTGTTAATTACACTGTGTTACGGTCTCGCCGATCCTAAACTTTCAAAGCCTTCAATAAAATTTATGAGGTCATTATCTTATCTTTATTCCGACTGAATCATCCTTTATTTCAGACGCCCCCTCACACACACACACACACTCCCAATGCAAAGTCACTGAGGCTTGACCGTTACCAATTAACAGCTGTCAATTAAACAGTTCGCATCTCAGTAGTATGTTATCGAATATATTGAAAACCGTGAGCGTGCTACTTTGGCGAGGGGGGGGGGGGGGGGGGGGGGGGGTTAAGGAGGATGTTGGTTGTTCACAAGGTCACTCGACAAACAGAATGTATACGGGTATTTCAATAATTGTATGATATATTTAGTCCTTGGGCAGCCCCAATCTCAAAACAACAATAAAATCCTAATTCTCACCGACTCCCTTAGTGGACTAAAAGCCCTCCAAAACAAAATTACCAAAAACGACCTAAATTAATAAACCAAATACTTAAAAGCTCAGACGACCTAACAAAAGCAGGCAAACAAATAACCTTCTTGTGGATCCCCGCCCACGTAGGAATTTACGGCAACGAAAGCGCCGATAAAGCAGCTTAATTATCTCTCAAAATACCAGTAATAAGCCTAAACCTACCCATCTCAAAAGCAGAAATTAAAAGTGTATACAAACAAAAAATAACCAAAAAATGGCATAATCAATATCAAAACTAAAATAGCCAAATCAAAAAAGTGCTCAGAAAACCACTAGCCAAACCTAAAATCCTACACCCCTCTAAAAAAATTGACAGATTTATTACAGAACTCCAAACAGGACACACGAACCTAAATAAACACCTAAAAAAACACCACAGGCAACTGCCCCCACTGCAAACAACCCGAAACCACAGAACACGCACTCATCCACTGCACCCACTACCAAACACACAGAACCACACTACAAACCACCCTCAATCTAAATAAGGTTCCTACTCTAGATGAAATACTAAACCCTCAAAATAAACTAGAAAACTTCAAGGCCCTAGGCGTATTCCTAATCAAAACAGACCTAATTAAGCGCATCTAAAAACTAATTAATCTACCAATCCAAAATCCAATAAACATACAAACACCCACCTCACCCGGCTCCCTTAGTTCCCTCCTCCACCCACCTCGGCATTTATTCCAAATTTAAAAATTCCAAAACTTCAATATAAGCAACCCCTAAAAGCCCCCTCTTGGGTTGCACACATCACTTTCACCCTTTTCGGAATACAATAAATGGTCCGGCCAGACCCGTGTGCGAAATACGCTACAGTCGGAAAGCGCACGTTAAATCTTCTATATCAGTCAGTCAGACCCCAGTGTTTCATATCATTTTCCCACCAAACTAAAAAAGAATAACCCCCAACTGGATATGTCAAGCGAACTAATTTTCGTTTCGTCTGTCGATTCATATTTTGGAAATTCAAGGGGAACCACTCCAGCTTATGCAGCACACACATTTGGGAAGGTTGCTTCATTAATAATAATACTTCTTACCATGGTTTCACAGTCGTTTGGAACTTTTTTAAGATCTGACACCAGATTATGCTGTCCGAAAATTTATCTATTTTTTTTTAGTGGAGACATAGACTAGGCTAGCTTTACACTAAGTCTTGTACCAGGCTGGCCCCTCTGGGTAGTAGGTCTGGTCTCTCCTTTGTCCTTGGACCCCCTTTCCGATCATAAGGGTTGAGTATCCCTTGCCAATGAAACACGTGTTTACCATCCTGTTTACCTTAGAGCACCCATTTACGACACATGGGGTTAGTTTTGAGTTCGGTTATGGTTTAGAAGTCTCTTGATATAAACATATTTATTTCCATAAAGTGGAGGGATTGGCAGACAAGCAAATTTTGCTTATCTGAATGCCTCTCCCAAACATGATACATAAGTCTCTTTTAACGAATTAATCCAATGTAATTTTCGCAGTATACTCATCCTTATATAATTTTCAGCTTCATGACAGTGTGAACATTGAGTGCCCCCTACACAAGTATGCAGTCACTGACAACTTATGGAGTGACCTGTACAAAACGGAAGATGCAGACGACTAGTACAAGCACGCACGCACACACACACACACACACACACACACACACACACACACACACACACACACAATTATCTTGGACGCGACATTCAACCCAATTTCAACTCACCTCACTTATCTTACTTTGTGTCTAAAGCTTGTGGAATGTGTTAATTACTGAAATGAAAAGCATTTTAATGGTTTTTTCCTATCTTTTCAGAATATGTGCACGTAGCTTTCAATGACCAGACGGAAAAAAGAATTCATTTCAAGTATGTTGAGAAGAAAACGTAAGTAAAGCACACTATTTACATTCATAATACATTTTATTCCGCAGGCTCTATTGTAAAGTTAAACTCTAGCTGCGTATAGGCTGCCATTATCCATTATATTAGACACTATGGATCCACTCATCTATACATCTATTTTCTTTTGTGACAGGACCCATCTCTGAAAAAATCACCTCACCCAAGAAATGAGAATGAAAAGTGCAAAGTCTCCCAAGGAATTGTCTTGTAATAAAGCATGTGAATAAATAATTTTTTGAAATATCTCACGAAATTAGTTTTATTTTTTTGCTTGAAATCATGTGAACTAAAAATGTTTGTTTTGAGGAAAAAGGTCATTTGAAGCAAGTCCAGGTTAAACTATCCAATGATTGAATCTTATTTCTCCTGAATTAAAATAATTCTGCTAAATATTACTGCAGAAAAAAATTCTGCCAGAAATTTCTGTAGAAAAAAAATAATTCTGCCAGAAATTTCTGCAGTAATGCATTTTCTGAGCCAATTTTTGAGCTTATGAACATGTGAACACACTGGGACACATTATTTGGATTCGTCTCCTCGAGAGCTTTCCAGTGATATAAAACATGTTTTTGTTGCTCGCTTCCTTCTGTGTGGTCAAGTTCGGACTCCTGGCCATTCCTAAGTTGTCCCGCCCTGCCTTAGTTGCATTCTTACATGGTCGACCCTCATAAAAAAAGTTGGCGCAATTGCATAAAAAATGATGACTTGAGGCCGCACTATAAATACATCAGCGATTCGAACTTTTTCACATGCATGACTTTTACTCGATGAGTGCTATTCTTAAAAGTATAAGTTTCAGAATAAAAATATTTGGTGTGTGGATGCATTCTTACATGGTCGACCGTCATGGAAAAAGTTGGCGCAATTGCATCAAAAATGATGACTTGAGGCCGCACTATAAATGCATCAGCGATTCGAACTTTTTCACATGCATGACTTTTACGCCATGAGAGCTATTCACAAAAGTATTAGTTTCAGAATAAAAATATTTGGTGTGTGGATGCATTCTTACATGGTCGACCCTCATGAAAAAAGTTGGCGCAATTGCATAAAAAATGATGACTTGAGGCCGCACTATAAATACATCAGCGATTCGAACTTTTTCACATGCATCACTTTTACGCCATGAGAGCTATTCTCAAAAGTATAAGTTTCAGAATAAAAATATTTGGTGTGTGGATGCATTCTTACATGGTCGACCCTCATGAAAAATATTGGCGCATTTGCATCAAAAATGATGACTTGAGGCCGCACTATAAATACATCAGCGATTCGAACTTTTTCACATGCATGACTTTTACGCCATGAGAGCTATTCTGAAAAGTATTAGTTTTAGAATAAAAATATTTGGTGTATGGTTGCATTCTTACATGGTCGACCCTCATAGAAGAAGTTGGCGCAATTGCATCAAAAATGATGACTTGAGGCCGCACTATAAATACATCAGCGATTCGAACTTTTTCACATGCATGACTTTTACTCGATGAGTGCTATTCTCAAAAGTGTTAGTTTCAGAATAAAAATATTTGGTGTGTGGATGCATTCTTACATGGTGGACCCTCATGAAAAAAATGGCGCAATTGCTTCAAAAATGATGACTTGAGGCCGCACTATAAATACATCAGCGATTCGAACTTTTTCACATGCATCACTTTTACGCCATGAGAGCTATTCACAAAAGTATTAGTTTCAGAATAAAAATATTTGGTGTGTGGATGCATTCTTACATGGTCTACCCTCATGAAAAAAGTTGGCGCAATTGCATCAAAAATGATGACTTCAGGCCGCACTATAAATACATCAGCGATTCGAACTTTTTCACATGCATGACTTTTACGCCATGAGAGCTATTCACAAAAGTATTAGTTTCAGAATAAAAATATTTGGTGTGTGGATGCATTCTTACATGGTCGACCCTCATGAAAAAAGTTGGCGCAATTGCATAAAAAATGATGACTTGAGGCCGCACTATAAATACATCAGCGATTCGAACTTTTTCACATGCATGACTTTTACGCCGTGAGAGCTATTCTCAAAAGTATAAGGTTTCAGAATAAAAATATTTGGTGTGTGGATGCATTCTTACATGGTCGACCGTCATGGAAAAAGTTGGCGCAATTGCATCAAAAATGATGACTTGAGGCCGCACTATAAATACATCAGCGATTCGAACTTTTTCACATGCATGACTTTTACGCCATGAGAGCTATTCTCAAAAGTATAAGTTTCAGAATAAAAATAATTGGTGTGTGGATGCATTCTTACATGGTCTACCCTCATGAAAAAAGTTGGCGCAATTGCATAAAAAATGATGACTTGAGGCCGCACTATAAATACATCAGCGATTCGAACTTTTTCACATGCATGACTTTTACTCGATGAGTGCTATTCTCAAAAGTGTTAGTTTCAGAATAAAAATATTTGGTGTGTGGATGCATTCTTACATGGTCGACCCTCATGAAAAAAATGGCGCAATTGCTTCAAAAATGATGACTTGAAGCCGCACTATAAATACATCAGCGATTCGAACTTTTTCACATGCATGACTTTTACGCCATGAGAGCTATTCTCAAAAGTATAAGTTTCAGAATAAAAATATTTGGTGTGTGGATGCATTCCTACATGGTCGACCCTCGTGAAAAATATTGGCGCATTTGCATAAAAAATGATCACATGAGGTTGCACTATAAATACATCAGCGATTCGACCTTTTTCACATGCATGACTTTTACGCCATGAGAGCTATTCTCAAAAGTGTAAGTTTCAGAATAAAAATATTTGGTGTGTGGATGCATTCTTACATGGTCGACCGTCATGGAAAAAGTTGGCGCAATTGCATAAAAAATGATGACTTGAGGCCGCACTATAAATACATCAGCGATTCGAACTTTTTCACATGCATGACTTTTACGCCATGAGAGCTATTCTCAAAAGTATTAGTTTTAGAATAAAAATATTTGGTGTATGGTTGCATTCTTACATGGTCGACCCTCATATAAAAAGTTGGCGCAATTGCATAAAAAATGATGACTTGAGGCCGCACTATAAATACATCAGCGATTCGAACTTTTTCACATGCATGACTTTTACGCCATGAGAGCTATTCTCAAAAGTATTAGTTTCAGAATAAAAATATTTGGTGTGTGGATGCATTCTTACATTGTCGACCCTCATGAAAAAAGTTGGCGCAATTGCATAAAAAATGATGACTTGAGGCCGCACTATAAATACATCAGCGATTCGAACTTTTTCACATGCATGACTTTTACGCCGTGAGAGCTATTCTCAAAAGTATAAGGTTTCAGAATAAAAATATTTGGTGTGTGGATGCATTCTTACATGGTCGACCGTCATGGAAAAAGTTGGCGCAATTGCATAAAAAATGATGACTTGAGGCCGCACTATAAATACATCAGCGATTCGAACTTTTTCACATGCATGACTTTTACTCGATGAGTGCTATTCTCAAAAGTGTTAGTTTCAGAATAAAAATATTTGGTGTGTGGATGCATTCTTACATGGTCGACCCTCATGAAAAAAATGGCGCAATTGCTTCAAAAATGATGACTTGAGGCCGCACTATAAATACATCAGCGATTCGAACTTTTTCACATGCATGACTTTTACGCCATGAGAGCTATTCTCAAAAGTATAAGTTTCAGAATAAAAATATTTGGTGTGTGGATGCATTCCTACATGGTCGACCCTCGTGAAAAATATTGGCGCATTTGCATAAAAAATGATCACATGAGGTTGCACTATAAATACATCAGCGATTCGAACTTTTTCACATGCATGACTTTTACGCCATGAGAGCTATTCTCAAAAGTGTAAGTTTCAGAATAAAAATATTTGGTGTGTGGATGCATTCTTACATGGTCGACCGTCATGGAAAAAGTTGGCGCAATTGCATAAAAAATGATGACTTGAGGCCGCACTATAAATACATCAGCGATTCGAACTTTTTCACATGCATGACTTTTACGCCATGAGAGCTATTCTCAAAAGTATAAGTTTCAGAATAAAAATATTTGGTGTGTGGATGCATTCTTACATGGTCGACCCTCATGAAAATTTTTGGCGCAATTGCATCAAAAATGATGACTTGAGGCCGCACTATAAATACATCAGCGATTCGAACTTTTTCACATGCATGACTTTTACGCAATGAGAGCTATTCTCAAAAGTATTAGTTTTAGAATTAAAATATTTGGTGTATAGTTGCATTCTTACATGGTCGACCCTCATGAATAAAGTTGGCGCAATTGCATAAAAATTTCATGACTTGAGGCCGCACTATAAATACATCAGCGATTCGAACTTTTTCACATGCATCACTTTTACGCGATGAGAGCTATTCTCAAAAGTGTATGTTTCAGAATAAAAATATTTGGTGTGTGGATGCATTCTTACATGGTCGACCGTCATGGAAAAAGTTGGCGCAATTGCATAAAAAATGATGACTTGAGGCCGCACTATAAATACATCAGCGATTCGAACTTTTTCACATGCATGACTTTTACGCCATGAGAGCTATTCTCAAAAGTATAAGTTTCAGAATAAAAATATTTGGTGTGTGGATGCATTCTTACATGGTCGACCCTCATGAAAAAAGTTGGCGCAATTGCTTCAAAAATGATGACTTGAGGCCGCACTATAAATACATCAGCGATTCGAACTTTTTCACATGCATGTCTTTTACGCCATGAGAGCTATTCTCAAAAGTATAAGTTTCAGAATAAAAATATTTGGTGTGTGGATGCATTCTTACATGGTCGACCCTAATGAAAAATATTGGCGCAATTGCATAAAAAATGATGACTTGAGGCCGCACTATAAATACATCAGCGATTCGAACTTTTTCACATGCATGACTTTTACGCAATGAGAGCTATTCTCAAAAGTATTAGTTTCAGAATAAAAATATTTGGTGTGTGGATGCATTCTTACATGGTGGACCCTCATGAAAAATATTGGCGCAATTGCATAAAAAATGATGACTTGAGGCCGCACTATAAATACATCAGCGATTCGAACTTTTTCACATACATGAATTTTACGCCATGAGAGCTATTCTCAAAAGTATTAGTTTTAGAATAAAAATATTTGGTGTATAGTTGCATTCTTACATGGTCGACCCTCATAAAAAAAGTTGGCGCAATTGCTTCAAAAATGATGACTTGAGGCCGCACTATAAATACATCAGCGATTCGAACTTTTTCACATGCATGTCTTTTACGCCA